GTACATAAATAAGATACATAAATTCTAAAATATAAATAAATTATAATTTTATTTATACATTTTATTATTTTTTATGGGACATCTATATCATATAGCTCCCTTAAGAAAATAAAATAATTAAAATAAAAATTAAAAAACATTTTTTTTTCTATTATCAAAATATTTCTTTGAGGTATAGTAATTATTTACAAAATCACAATCAAGCTTTTAGTTTTGTCAAAATAGGACATCACATTATGACATAAGTTGCCATAGAAACGATGGCAAAATTCAGCGAAAATCGACATAGCTTTGTTTTAGAAATATAGGCATAGAAATCGAAATGTAGGCGTTTTGTAGTAACTGCAAGGGTATATAAACTTCAGCTTACTTCCTTTCTTGTTAGAAATGTTTTCTACCTTGAGTTTTATTTTTATATTTTTTAGGAAAGTTTTAATTTTAGAGCTTTTGCTATAGATTTAAGAGAGGAAACGCCATTATTTAAAAGATATTAAAATTAAATTAAAATTGTGAAGGTCGAATTACTTTATTTTTGGGTTCATTTTATTATGCGTGTGAAAAAAATTATGAATTTGTTATTGCTAACCAATTAGATCAAATGTTTGTTAATGTTCGAACTAAACAAATGCATTAGTAATGTTTATTATTTAATTCAACGAACACAAGACCAAGTTCGAAGCAAATATCACCTAGTTGTATTGTTTCCTTAATACCATAACAAAATCAAATTAAAACACTCGCTATTTCATCAGATGCTGTAGTTGAAAAATATGGGCGATTCGAACAAGTGCGATAATCTTGGCATCAAGTTCAAAACTGACATAGCGGTGGCCAATTCAAAACCAGTCGTAGTTAGAATGCAAGGCTGCTAAGGGAATTTTTTGACTTTTGATGTGGTGGTGCAGCTAACAGTAAACCGTAAAAGAGTGCAAAATCGAGGGAAATGGAAATGATAAAGGGCCTTCAAAAGCGATTCGCCCATTACGAGCAAGATAAGAGCAAGCAAAATCTTTAAAATCAATCCCCCATCTCAAGAACTCAAGATATCTAGAAAATGATCAGCCATTACCATGCTTTTTAGTCTTCTATAGTCAATACAAATCCGCAGCGTACCGTCTTTCTCTTTGACTGCAACGAGTTTGCTTGTTGGGCCAACCATTCATCAATTTCCTGCTTTACTCCCTCTGCCTCGATTACTGAAGACTTATGAAATGGTGTTCTTATGCATCCAGATCCTGAGTTACTGGTGGTATCTGCTGGACTTCTTCGACGAGTTTGGTCACAGATTCTTCGAAATGGGGAGAAACAGTAAAAAAGGTTGATTCTTCTACAATATTATACAGATCTGACTTAAGTATACTTGTTTTCCTCGGTTCACCTCTTAGCCCGTCAACTTAAAGACATTGCCATTGCAGCAAAATAAAAACTTCGTAGTAAAATCATGTCCAAAGCACCACAGTCGACCACGTTATCAGGCACGACCAGAAACTTTTGTTGTGTGAACAACTTGTCAGCAAGAACATCGGCTGTGAAGAATCCAATCGGCTTTTTTTTCTGACCCAGACCGCCTATGATACACTACGTCAATTGATCAGAGAATAAAGATTAGACGTCGCTTGTTGCTCGTAATAAACCCATGATATGATAAAGTCACTAGTGAACTTCAGAGGTGTTGCAATTGAAGTGTGATTAGGTGCTTCAGAAGTTGGGGTTTAGCTTAGATTTTCGCAATGAATTAATAGTATTCAATGTTCGATATTGACCCTAATTTGAAAAAAGTAATAGTGACTCGTTCCGAATCAGCCGCAAGTAAATAAATGTATAAATTAATGTAATTGGATGTGAAAGATTTCACAATGTACTGGTTGGTATTAGTTTCTCAATGTAAAAGAGGTGGCTATTATCTAATTCTTGATTTAAAACCTTGTTGAGAATACGAGATGTTGTTTTACAGCGGCAATGGTAATGTTGCAGTCGCCTATTGTAATCAACTAGCATTCGTATAAATTAGATTATCGAAAATGTATCAGAATATTTGCCTTCAACTTATTGTACAATGGTACGTATCTGCAGTATGCTGAATAGTTTCCTCTCCAAATTCCGCATCTTTTAATTTTTGGCTCCTCCTATTTAAGGGGTTATATACCTTTTTGAACGAAAAAATTGAGGGAACTTTGGATTTTTTTTCAGGTGTGTAGCAATAATTTTATGACACTGAAATTATTATTTATTGATAGTACAAGTTTTTATCGAAACAACAAGCGTTTGTTGTTGAAAAAATATAAATAATTTACGAAGTTATGGCAATTCTCTCGGAACCCTTTTTTTATAGCGGCTTGCGGTGACCACGATGGAAGTCCAGCAGATCAACTGAAATCAAAAAACCAAAAAATTTGTATTACTATAGTATTATTTCCAGTTCGTGAACGATTATTTTCAAGAATATTTGGTTTTTTCTGCATACAGTAACAATTTCTCCAAAAAGTTGATTTTTCGAGTTCTAAAAATTTTATTAAAAAATTCTGATCTGCAAAATCAAAATTTGCGCATAAAAACCGAATCCTTCACGAACTCGGCACAATCATTACGAATAATTTTAAAAAAAATTGAAGAAGATCGATCAAATAGTTCTTGTGCAATCGCGGTCACAGCAAAGGCACTTTTGGAAAAACACGACTTTGAGATAATCGCATTCAAAGTTTTACATTGAGTATATGCAACTATTGAAGTCCAGCAGACAAACTTACAAGTCATCGTCGATTCCGGGACCATAAAGCGTGCCTCCTGCACTTGATACAGGCTCCACAATTGACGTTGTCTGCTGGCCATTCGTCCTTCCCTTGTCGCACTTTGCGCCTTCAGCTCAGCCGTCGAAATGCGCCTCTCGTCCTGCTTGACGCTGTCCGCAGCCGTGACGAACCACGCCTCAAAACGCTGTTTTCCTATCGAACTATTATTCGGATCTCTATGAAAATTTGGGAAAATGTTCTCTAGGGGATATACTTTAGGATTCAGCAAAAAAAAATTTTCGTTTTTTTTTTTTAAAAAAGGTATATAACCCCTTAACAGGGAAGTTGTGAAAATATCCACAAGCTACGCAGACCAACGGAAAGCCGCAGTGATTCTGGTGGCTCAATTCTCCTGAAAATTCGAGCATTGCACTGGACCATTCCGCTTGTGCTTATTTTCCACAGTAAAACTAGGGTGCAAAAGAAACTGCAGATTGTAGATCAGGTGCACTTAAAATTTCTCCAAGGATCTTCTTTATGGCTCCAGCTCGATATTTAAATGTTGCTGCTTTTAAATTATGCATTCATTCTCTAGTTGTTCAATTTAATCTAGGTATTTTGACACAGCTCAGAAGTGCTCTTCATATTTAGCTATACATTTTTCCATTAACAACATTAAAATGAATACCGACGTTATTGACTATGGGTGTTTCTATTGTTTTTTGGACCACCTGTCGAGATATGGGTAGATAACTTTACTTACTATCACCCGCCATTTGGGCATATCGTAGGTATGTATATAGTTCGCTGATTTTTATGAGGAGCTTTTTCTTTGGTTTACAGAACAGAAGTAATTTTTGACACTATAAAGTATTTACGTACGTGTCCGTGTCTCTCAGTGGTAATGGAATTGTTTCTGTGACAGCTATATGATATTGTTGTCCGATTTTGACAAAACTAAAAACGTAATTCTGATATATTAAAAAATATTTATATCTCAAAGGAATATTTTGATAAATAGAAAACCAGCAAATGAGCTATATGTATTTTAATGTATCCTTTGCTGTTTTTTCAATGGTTCGACCAAAAAAATGCATTTATTCACACGATACGGTTAATGTCAGATAAATTATTTTATAAGCATCTAAAAGTACAACATTTACACTATGTTTTCACAAATTTTTATAAAAAAAAAGTAAATATACTTTATAGGGTCGGAAATGTCTCCTACACTGCGTTGCAAAATTTTGACTGAAATTATAATACCCTCTGCAAGGTTATAAAAATAAAATTGTTAAAGAAATGCATTCAATAAAATGCTCAGGCGGGCTAGACTAGTCAAGGGATAAACGATTATTTCATAGAATACGTACTTTAAAACAATTTTGCTTTTATATATTCTAGTTCCAAAAAGCTGCCAAGGCGCTCAACTCTGCGTTGTAATTCGTAGACCGTTGAAATCGTGTGACCTTCCACCTGAAAAAACAATCATTTTCGAAAAAACTTTTGGACCTCAAATAAGCCCAAAAAACATGTTCGTTCTTTTTCTGTAAGGAAACAATGCAGTTATAATTTTATTTCCCTTTTTATCCCGATAGTTCCTAGTTCAGCCTTATGATAAATAGGTCGACCCGACCCGTTCTAACTTTTATACTACCCGCAACAGAAAGAAGACTTTATGCTAAATTTTATCAAAATATCTTTAAAACGAAGGGATAAGTTTGCGTACGGACATGGCTAGTCGAGTCGATACTCGCCTGGTGATGGTGATCAAGAACATATATGTATACTTTTTAGAGTCCAAAAGGTGCGTTTTGTACTGTGTTGCACACTTTTGAATAAAATTAAAATAATTATAACTTAGTAAAATGCGACAAAAATGTTATTTAGCAATCATAAAAATGATAAGAAATTAATATAAAATATCCACAGTTTTATTGGTATTAAAAAAATACTCATATAACTCGAGATGTAGCCCACTTGTACGATTTTATCTTTAGTTTTATAGAAATCGGACGACTAAATCATAGGTATATATTAAATAAATTGGCTAAATCGCTTTTCGGCTTGTCGAAACTATCTTCTTTTCTTGTTGATTAATCGCTTTGTTCAGAAGCTAGCAAACTTTCTTCCATTCTGCGTGTAAATTAAAATGGTGAATTTATTTTATTTTTAACAATTCGAAAATTAATGCGCCGAAAATTAAGTATAATACAACTGTAAAAATAAGTGATCGAAGAAGCCTGAATATAATTTTTCTTTTATTAACAGTCGTGCGATGCTATGCTTAGTGATGCTGAGACGAAAGAGCTGACCAATCGGAGCTTTGACTTAGCCATACTGGATGGAGCTTTCCCGGAGTGCTTTTTGGGATTGATGTACCAGTTTAAGATCCCGTTCATGTACATAAATACAGTAGGCTTTTACACAGGCAGTCTCTCGACTGCTGGAAATCCCGTTAGTTACGCTATAACTCCAAACTTTTACTCCCGATTTACCGACACAATGAGCCTCTATGAACGGGCAATCAACACAGCCATGCAGATCGGGCAAAACCTGATGCACATGGTAAGTGAAACTCAGTTTTACAATAAAATTATAATTATTATAATTAATTAATTATAGTACGTTATGCGGCGAACACATCTTGTTCTGCGAGAGCATTTAGGTGCCCACATTCCGCATCCTTACGACATTTCGCGCAACGTTAGCTTTATTTTGCAGAATGGACACGCAATTCTGTCTTATAATAGAGCCTTTAACCCGAATGTGGCTGAGGTTGCTTGCATTCACTGTAAGCCAGCTAAAAAACTTCCCAGGAACCTCGAGGACTTCGTCTCGGCTTCCGGAGTCTCGGGATTCATTTATGTTTCCATGGGATCTTCAGTAAAGGCTGCGAATATGCCAGAGGCACTGCGCCACATGCTTGTAAAGACCTTTGCACGCCTGCCGTATCATGTGTTATGGAAGTACGAAGGCAGTTCCGCAGATTTTAAAGACCTCACTTCAAATGTAAAGCTTTTGCGATGGCTACCGCAACAGGACATTTTGGGACATCCCAAGCTTCGAGCATTTGTAACACATGGAGGCTTGCTAAGCATGTTTGAGACGGTATATCACGGAGTGCCAGTCGTCACGATGCCGGTATTTTGCGATCATGATGTCAACTCAGCTAAGGCCGAGGTCGATGGTTATGCAATTAAACTTGATCTTCAAACGCTTTCGACCAATCAGCTTTACAAGGCTATTATGAAAGTGATTCATGATCCTCGCTACAAAAATGCAGCTCGGTATCGCCAAAAACTCTTGCTCGACCAGCGCTCAACAGCCCTGGAGACAGCGATATACTGGACAGAGTACGTGCTGCGTCACAAAGGCGCCTATCACCTACAGGCTCCTTCACGGAATATGACGTGAGTTTATGCAGATTTCTTTAATGTAACGATGCTAATATATTTCTCTCTATTTAGTTGGTGGCAGTACTATCTACTCGATGTGGCTGTTATTTATTTAATTTTACTTTACGGGCTGATTTTATTATTAAAACGCATAGACTTTCGGTCTAAAAAGCTACGGAGCCTTCATTTGCTGATGTCTGCTTCTTATTCAGAAGTAAAAACGAAGTCGAAAAAAATGTAACAGATCGCTAGATATCCCATTGGGCTGTTTAAAAATTTAAGAGGATTTATTGTGATTTAAAAGCGTTCAAATAAGAATATATTAGAAGCTGATGAGTTTTTTTCATATATTTTTGGGAAAAATAATTTTGAAAATCTCTTTTTTTAAATTTATAATTATGAGAAAATTTACTTAACCACAAAAAAAAACTTAGTGGGTAATATCACCCATTTATATTAATTAATTTATTAAAAAAAATTAGATTTTCAAAATATGTTCAAGTAGGTAGAGCACAAAATATATATCTTAAATTAACAAGACAGGTTCTCCATCAATACGATACCTGTTTTTTGGGTTTTATAGAGCATAAAATGGAGACTTACGGCACGACTCGCCCAACACTAAAATTAAAAATTCGGGCACGGCAAAAATTGTATTAAATATTTTAATTATTTTTTTATTGTTTAATATTTCTTTGCTCCGTTGTTATAAAAGAGTTTATCAGGACAGCACTCGCTAAGCATTTGTCGGAAGTGCGAAGTGGCAATGTTAGGTTTCAGTAAAAAATCGTAGTTTTCAAGTGATTTTAGACACTTTTAATGCGGTTACATTCATATCAAATTTATACACGATAACATATATGTTGTAAGAGAACCCCTTATCAAATTTACCGATGTTTGTTTTTGAAGAAAAACTCAGTTTTTAGGAAATTTAAACTGCTTTGAGGTAGAATATCATGAAAACTAGGTAACCAAACGTAATGTCATTTGTTTCTTTGGCTAGGTGTGTTTATTTAGTGTATAGAACAATAATAAAATACTTTTTCCTTTGTGCTTCTTCAGGAAATCATTATTTGCAAGCAGTCTATTTTTCAATACATTTAAACTAAAAATGGAAAATAAAACAAAAACATCAAATACTATTTTTACCATGTTTTATTTCTTTATATTAGGAATGTTACATATTCGCCTGTATGCGATTCTGACTGCTAAAAACAAAAAGGGTAAATAGGCATTGCTTAAATTCATTGAATTTCTGGAACAGATGGAAGCCTATTACTATGTCTTTTCACAAATTTTCATCGAAAGAAATAAATAAGCCGTTCGCAGACAAGCTCCGTAGACGCCTCCAAGAAAAAAGCAGCATTGAACAGCATAGCTCGTTACTGGATCTTCAGAAAAAATTAACATAAAATTGTTTATTAGTTAAGATGTTTCTAAAGGTAACTACGTTTTTTTTTATTATTCAATTTTTGGATTTTTGGTAATGCTTTGAATCAAAAACGTGTTTTTAGCCTAAAATTTCGATATATTAGTTATTATAAAATGAAAAATAATCAGTTAAAAAATAAAACTCGACGTCAGTACCTGAGGATTTAGGTTTAGAAATAGTGTGAAAAATTTCAAAACTATTCGTCCATTAGATTTTGCAGGATCGTGTTCTCCGATTTTGAAATGGCAACTTTTCAGGAGAGCGTTTTAAAGTTTTAGATACCCAAAAATCGAATACAAAACGAGCTAACTCACCTAAGTTCAACTACCTATAACTTCGGAAGTTTTACTCGGATCAATCTAAAAATTTAACGCAATATTCTACAAATGTTTTGCATTCAGAAAAAAAATAGACAGCAAAAAATTGAAATACCATACCCCTTAATCCAAAAGATTAAGACACACCCATTTATATCCTTAGGCGGTATAATAATTTCAGTCAAAAGTTAGTAACTCTTAGTTAGTTTCCGACCTTTAAAAATATATTTTTTTGATCAGCATCAATCGAGAGTCGATCTAGCCATATCCAGACGGTTATGTCCGCCGTCTTTCCGTTTCTACGCATGTTAGTCCATATAGTACATTTTAACAAATGAATGAAATTATGCAAGAAGTAATCTTTCTTGCATTTAGTATATACGTCGGAAGGGACCGAGCTTGAACCTGGCAAAAGGCTCCATAGACAGAATAACGTTGTAAAGCCCTAGAGCCCAGTATTATTATTTCTGGGTAGAAAAGTAATGCTTGGCTTTTCAATTATAGCGTCTCAAGGCATTATCACCGGTACAGACAAAGTATTCTTCACTTGGAAGGCAGTGCGGAGCTTTGGTGCACAAGAGAAATGATAGTGCACTCATAGCAAAATGAACCCTAAATTTTAGAAATTCGTCATAAAAATTTATTTTTTTCTATAGATTTATATTTTCTAAAAGATTTATATTTTCAAGTTTTTTTTTCCTGAAAAAGTGTTTCTTAAATGTGGAAATTGTCGTCATAAACTAAACTCGCCCTAAATCCAAGAAAAAATTTCTATATTTTAGTAAAAATGGTTTTTAGAAAAATTTTCTCAAAATTCTGCCCTAAAAAATAATTTACATAAAACAAGAAAGGAAGCAAGCTTTTGCAGTTATTACAAATCGACTACATTTCTATTTCTATGCCTATATTACTAAAAACAAGAAAGAAAAGCTAACTTCGGGCGGAGCCGAAGTTGATATACCCTTGCAGAATATTCTGTAAATTATATTCTCCAAAATTATTCATACGATGCAATCTTAATACTCATAAAAAATCCCAACTTCCTAACTTTAAAAACACCAAAGTTATGGCATTTCCAATCGTTCAGTTATATGGCAGCTATAGGATATAGTCGGCCGATCCTTATGAAATTTGATAGGTTGGATTGATTGGTTAAAAAGAGAACCCATAGAAAATCCCAACTTCCTAACTTAACAAAAACCAAAGTTGTGGCATTTCCGATCAATCAGTTATATGGTGGCTATAGGATATAGTCGGCCGATCCTTATGAAATTTGGTAGTTCGGATTGATAGGCCAAATATAACACCCATAGAAAATCCCAACTTCCTAACTTCACAAACACCAAAGTTATGGCATTTCCGATCAATCAGTTATATGGCAGCTATAGGATATAGGCGGCCGATCTTTATGAAATTTGGTAGGTCGGATTGATTGGCCAAATATAAAACCCATATAAAATTCCAACTTCCTAACTTAACAAACAGCAGAGTTATGGCATTTCCGATCAATCATTTATATGGCAACTAAAAGATTTAGTCGGCGATCTTTCGAGTTTTTTACTGCGGTGGAAAAAAGTGTGTGCTAAAGTTTCAATTGTCGATATCTTTAAAACTGAGAGACTAGTTCGCGTAGAAACAGACAGACGAAAAACAGACAGACGGACAGTTACGGAAAGACGGACATGGCTTTTATCAACATTCAAAAGGTGATCCCTAAAAAATAATATACATAAAAGAAGATCGGAGATGTCTCCTTCACTGCGTTACTACAATTTTGACCAAATTTCTAATACCTATGCCTATATTACTAAAAAAATGAAGCTAGTCAATTTTGCGATGCATTTTGACATCTTTTCTATTGAAGCTATATGATATTGTTGTTCCTTTTGTATTGAATTAAAACCGTGATTCCATAATATTTAATTATTTCCAAATCCCAAAGAACAAACAAAAAAATTAAAAAAACAAAGCTATAATTTGTATGCCCTTGCAGAGGGTATTATAATTTTGGTCAAAACTGTGCAACGCATTGAAGGAGACATCTCCGACCCTATAGAGTATATATATTCTTGATCAGGATCGCGTCCTGAGTTAATATAAGCATGTCCGTCTGTCTGTTTCTACGCGAACTAGCCTCTCAGTTTTAAAGATATCGAATTGAAACTTTGCACACATTCTTCGATCCCTTGCAGGCAGTATATAAGTCGGAACGGCCGGGATCGGCCGACTATATCCTATAGCTGCCATACAACTGATTGATCGAAAATGTCATAACTTTGGTGTTTGTAAAGTTACGGCCGGGATCGGCCGACTATATCCTATAGCTGCCATACAACTGATTGATCGAAAATGTCATAACATTGGTGTTTGTAAAGTTAGGAAGTTGGGATTTTCTATGGTGTTTTTTTGGCCAATCAATCCGACCTATCAAATTTCATAAGGATCGGCCGACAATAAACTATTGCTGCCATGTAACTGAACGATTGGAAATGCCATAACTTTGGTGTTTGTAAAGTTAGGAAGTTGGGATTTTTTATAAGTATTAAAAATGCATCATATGAATAGTTTTGAAGAATATAATTTACAGAATATTCTGCAAGGGTATATCAACTTCAACTCCGCCCGAAGTTAGCTTTTCTTTCTTGTTTTGAGTTTTTTTCCCATTGCTATATGATACAGTCGCCCGATCCGGCTCGTTCCGACTTATATACTACCTGCAATAGAAATACAACTATTGGGATAGTTTCAAGCAGATAGCTTTAGAACTGAGGGACTAGTTTACGACATGGCTAGATCGACTCTCCTGGTGATGCTGATCAAGAATATAAATAATTTATAGATAAGGAAAAACCATTCGTTTTTATCAGTAGTTTATTTAGGAAACCCAAAAGCTACAGTATGTGTGGGCAAGCCGAAGTTTACATAACCTTGCAGCTATTATAAAAATTTAATATTCTATTTTTCGATGCTTAAAAACATATGATAAGTCTTGCGATTTTTACAAAATTAGTAAAATAATTAGTATTAGAGTAAATGAGTATATGTTAAGAAATAACAAAGATATAATTATATTTTTTCCGTTTGTTTCTATGGAAGCAATATGTTAAAGTAGTCTGATTTTTAAAGGAGTAAAACCGAATTTGTAATTCGTTTAAAATTACTTTATTTCGGAGTATATAAACATATGTTAAGAAATATTGAAGTTATAATGGTATTTCCCCTTGTCCCGATGGTTTCTATTGGAGTATAGAATGGCCGATCAAGCCCGTTCCGACAGCAAAAGTTTAATTTAAATAGTTTTAAAGCTGTGGTACTCGATGACTCGCCGGATGTTGCTGATGAATTGAATGTGCAAGGGTATATAAGGAGTATTGTATAATTAAAATCAATCAAAAATTGGCAAATTCGAAGTTTTCATCTATTACCTCATGATTTTCTTTTTAGCGAGCTCATATAACATTTGTTTGTATTTCTTAACAAGACTTAATTGATATTTTAATTTTATGCTCAGATCGGAGAGGTTAAGTATGTTTATAAGTACGTCAAGAAATATTTGTGAAAGAATGAATGAAAGAATATTCGAG